TCATCCATCTTCAACTCATACAATTGCTTCTCTAAATATAATCTATTTGTTAGGGATTTCAACATATAATCTTTTTATAATTTTTTTCATAACTCAGAAGGAGAAGTTTTACTCATAGCACTATATTTCAAATAACTTAAACGAATTGTGCTTACTGCTCTCGCTTCCAGTTCTTCCCAATCTTCATCTTTCATATTTTTCGGCTTATTTCCTTACAACGCTTTCAGTTTTCTCTGCTAAATCAGAATATCTTTCACCGTACTCTGCCATATGTTGAAATTACTCTTCCCGCCAAAACGTCGATCTGCTCAAACTTTATCCCTGACATCATCTTAATTTTTTTTTTCCAAATATTCACCACGGGTCTGATACCAGTTGTTAGGGAAAAAACACACCCCTACACTCACGCAACAAAAAAATAAACTGAAACAAAAATAACAGAAAAATAGAGAAGACAAAGATTTAGGTGGTTCGGATAATAAATGTTATACATCTACGAAATAGGGAGAAAAATTCACTAACAGTTTCAGAGTTACACACTCAACAAATTTTCTCACATTCTCTCTCTACCCAAAACCCGTTACAACCTTGCCCATCTCTCCTCACTTTTCTCTCTCTCTCTCTCTTTCTCTCTCTCTTTCTCTCTCTCTCTCTCTTTCAATAGGAGCCACTCCGACTCTACACTTTTCTCTGAGCACACATAAAGCCTTCACTACAAGAAAAAGGGGTTTTTGCGACGACTTTTTGTCATCGCAAAAACCCCCATGTCGTCGCAAATAAGTGTTTTTGCGACGACATGTCGTCGCAGTTATGTCGTCGCAAAAAAATAGTCGCAAATACTTTTTTTGCGACGACAAAGTGTCGTCGCAAATATATTTGCAACGACATTTTTCTTTTGCGACGACGCTCGTTACTAATACCCCGTTGTTTAATTTGTCGTGATTTAACATTTTTTACGACGACAATTTCAAAATGTCGTCGCAAATAATTACCCTTTTTTGCGACGACAAGTATAAAAAAGTCATCGCAAAAACTGAAATAAATTTTTTTTTTGAATTTTTAAAAAAATGGTAATTAATTAATTTTTAATAATTTTAATTAAACATTATTATGTTACATACTGAATATAATTTATTAAGATACATTAAAAGTAAAATATAAATTAATATTAAAAACAGTAAATCTAAATAAATTTATAAAATATATTATAAATACTACATGAAGTGCATATATAATGTTCAACAAAATA